CATCTAATCGTCTGACGGTGGTTTCTCCCCAACCACCGGGTCTAGTCTTTTCTTCGAGCTTTCCCCCGGAGAGGTAGCCGTCCTCGAAGATGGCGGCTGCGGAAGTTCACAAAGAGTCAAGTTATCTCTAAGTGAAGTCTTAACCGCTGCAGAAGCTTGTTGTTGCACACGGACACCCTGATATGGGCTGTGGCCAATCTTCTTACGGACCCCTAAGATATTTTTGGCCTTTTTGCCTGACGTGGGCTTTCCCTTCTTCTTCATATTCTTAGGGCCCAAGGAAACTCCGAAATCTGTGTTCACTAGCAGGCCTGGGCCTGGAAATAAACCTTTAAGTGGAGAAATAATACCCTCCAGGCCCATCTCATGTACAGTGCGGCCCACCGAAGCCCCAACTGAAACCCTCTGCATCACAGTCTGTTGCCTCGTCGCCTCCGGTCGTGTTGCTCGAGCCGGCTTCCACAGATTTGCCTGACTGACGAGCATCGCTTCCTCGACGGAGTCCCAGTACCACGCAGCTTGAGTGAAGCCACCATCTCCGATCCCTGCCTTCATCGTTTCTGTCGCCGATACTCAGGATGGCTTCACAGGCACCGTATTGATGTCCCGCAGCGTCACCGGTGAGGCATACAGTGAGTCCGCAGTCGAATTCAAGGGATCGGTCTTTCTGACACAGTTCAACGCCGCCGCAGGTTGAGCCATAGAGGGTTCCTCGTCACCAAACAGGTTCCTCCGGACTGGTTTCTTCGCCAGAGCCACCACACCATCGTCATTCTCCTTCATTTCATCACCAATATGTCTGCGTCTTCGTGTTTGGGTCGGTGCTACATATCTCTCCTTTTGCCGGTATCTGTCCTCCTCTCCCTCCTGCAGGCGCCCATAACCTCGAGCTTGTCGAGCCGGAGGCCTCTCTGGGCAAGACTGCTTGTCATGTGTGATGCAATAACATCGTTTGCTGTAGCAATCAGGCTTTTCGTATTGAAAATAGACTGTGAGGATCTCAACATTGCGGAATTCAAGGTCTCGATTCAGAATCAGCGGAGCTCCACCCTCCATGACTACCTTAACTCGCGGTGGTTGAACCTCCCACTTCAGAAG